TCATGACTTCTAGGAACAAATCATATTTTTCCGTTTGGTCTTGAAACATGCCCTTAACCTCCTTGAGACAGGTCAGGGCATCATTTGATGTTAGTTTCGGTGATGCATCAACTCCCACAGCCACTGCTGCTCCTCCTACTCCTACCACTCCTCCCTCNATTATCTATCCCACGCAGTAATCAAAATCATATCCCAACTATCATATATAAAGTGGTTAAATGAACAGATCATAACACTAAAAAGGGGCAAAAGTAGATAGCAAAATATAGACCTTAAAGGCCTCTATGAAGATGAATAGATTATTTTAAACTACTTTAAAAGACTCAGATAAACACTAGTCAGCATAGCACTTACCAAATTTTGTAGATCATTCCTTTTGATAATTCCATTGTTAAAAATATGGAGACACTTTAAGAATGCTTGATAATCATCTGAACACAACTTCTCCTTGACTTTGTCGCAGAAGATGAACCCTTGGTTGTACATGCCTGACACAGTAATTAAGAAACCTTTGAACAACAAAAAGAAACCAACATATGGAAGAAAAAAAAAAAAAAGACCCTAATAAAATCTGAGACTTTTATAACTCCAAAAGGCTGGCTTGCAATGACATGGTATGCATAATCCACAAAGAAGGCTACACAGGAAGCACAAGTTACTTGGCTAAGGAATTGGGCTAGTGATGGAACAAATAATGGCATCGGCATACCTTAAACAATAGTTGAATTTCTTAACAACATCAAGATTCAGCTAATGGTTGACTAGCAAACGAAGTATATTGACCCAGGTGCACATAATCACAAAATGTAAAATGCAGATTTTATGTTTCTTCCAATTTGAGGTAAACTTATCAGGGAAAGATAAAACATGGTCAAACAATTTTCGTACATCACCAAAGCTATTTTGAGACATTAAAAAGATATTAAAGATTTCTAACAAAACAAAAGAAATTCTCCACCAACATGCCAGAAAATAAATAGAAGTACACAACCCTGCCAACAGCAATATACACAAGAATGTGTAAGAGAATATACATCAGCAACTGTGCATCAAACAGCATAATTGACTCACCCTTTAAGTTATCTTTGTCATCATAAGAAGCAAAGTTAGAATTTGCTCCAAAACCTTCAACTTTCCTGGAAGGCTTCTTTTTGTCAGAAAAACGTTGCGAGTTGAAGTCCCTATTGTTATCGTGCTCCATTTCTCTATCATCTTGATCACGATTTCTCCTATTATTTTCTTTCTCTGCACGCTTCCTCTGCTCCTTCTGCAATTTCAGCACTACTTTGTCATCCTCCATCTCAGGACGATCAACACTAAGATCACGATCATGGGAAGTAATAATTCTATCTCGACGACGTTGCTGAAATTTTTAGCACACCAATCAGAATCCCCTAAAAGAATACAAAGGAAAAGGAAGGGTGGTATGATTACCTTGTCCACATGCATTTGCCGCAAAGCGGGAATGGCAGAGCTTCGCTCATTGCCACGCTGTGCTGAATTTCGGGCATATGGTACCTGGTGAGTTAAAGAAGTCGCCGAAGTATCAGGTAAAAATCTGGTGAATTCCTCAAGAAGATCTGTGTGGTCCTCAAAAAGAGCAGCAACCTGTGGAATGATTAATTAAAACAATTAAGAGCAACATATATAGTAGGCAATAACAAAAAACAAAAGATTCCATTGGCATACATAGGTAATTACAAATTTACCTCACTGTAGACCTCATGTATATCTTTGTGCTCTTTCCTATACATATTCAGAATTTCCAAGAATGATTTATAGACATGTTCATCATTTTGGAAACGTTTCTGTAAGAACAAAAATCATTAATCAAAAACCTACAAAACCAACATTTTCGGTTCAAAAATAAGATTAGGGGACAACATTTTCACCTTTATCTTGTTTACAAAACTAATTGCTTCTTCAAATTCAACAGTTTTCTTTGGTGGAGCATCGTCCTCATCAAGGGTTATTTCATATCCCTTTGGCAAGAATGTGTTAAATCCAAAAATTAAGTTGTTGTGTCCTTTAAATAAATCCTTCACCCTCGCAATGACACCAGCAGTGTCGGTTCTGCAAAACACAAAGTTAAAAACAGCATCTCCATTTGTCAATTAAAAAATTTAACTCAAGTAAAGATAGTACCTCTGAGCCTTAAAATCTTTCATGACTTCCAGGAATAAATCATATTTTTCCCTTTGGTCTTGAAACATGTCCTTAACCTCCTTGAGATAGGTCAATGCATCATTCGTTGTTAGTTTCGGCGACGCACCAACTCCCACAGCCACTGCTGGTCCTCCTACTCCTACCACTCCTCCCCCTCCACCTCCGCTGCCACCACTGCCGCCACCGCCAACAACCCCTCCAGCCCCAGGCAGTTGCGATTGCACATAGCTTCAGAGCAAAAGAAAATTACAAAAAGATCATAAACTAAATTACCCAAAAAGACCCAACACCTAAATAACAACAAATATCCTCATACATACAACTTCCTTCAACCACCCATCTGGCTCTTTCTCATAAAAACAAAACTTTACAATTCTACCTAAACCCCAGTTGCCTTCTTCAATGATCCATCCCTCACAAAAACAAAACAAAACAAAAAAGAAAACCCAAGAACACCCACCTCGCAAACAACTGTACACTATATTTACAAATAAAATGACAAACCACCAACATCAAACCACATAAATTTCAAATCTTTCATGATCAGAAAAACAAAAACACCACAATTCAACCTAAACAAAACCAGAAAAAAAACTTACGATTCCCCGCGAGAAGCAGCAAAGGGCCGCTTAAATTGTGCACTCCCACCGAAAAGATCCTCTCGTATTCGCTTCATTCCTACACAAACAAAAACAAAATAGATTAGCAACTGCAACAAAACCAAAAACAAAAAATAAAAAATTTACACCAACATGAAAACTTACGGTTCTCTCAACAGTAAAAAAAATATGTACAGATCCTTGGAAACAAAAACAATAAACAGTGTTGGAGTTTGATCGGTTTCCAAAAGAGCGAAGGAACAAGATTTAGTTTTGATTACGAAGACACAGAAAGAGAGGAAATTTAAGAGAGTGTCTCCGTAGGACTAAAATGAAAGTTTTGAAAATATTGGTTTCGACTTTCGTATGCCGTAGTCAAAACATGAGAGGATTCGAAAATAGTGGTGCGATGTTTGAGAATGAGATAGATAGATTGAGAGAAGGTTAATGTTCAAGTACTAAATTTGGCAGCAGTTTCCCTGTTTTTATTTGTTGCCCATTTTAATGGGCTCAATTTCAAATATAAGGTCCATCAACATGAAATGGTAATATTATTATTATTATTATTATTTCACGTGATGAATTAAGATCTTCTCTTGATCCGAGCTTATTGTATAAGCTTTTTGGATCTAAAGAAACCCTAGTTTTTCTTTAGAGAAAACATTATAATTTCATTTAATTTTAGGTTTTTCTTTTGAAAAGAAAAGTATTTATGTTATGGCAGAAATCGTAATACAAATTGCTTTTCTTTTTTTCATCATCCACATATAATGAATTTTAGAATTAGGGATTTAATTATTCACTTATTAATATTGAGTTTTAATTTTGTATATTATATTATTATTAATGGCCAAGTAAATTTTTTTTTTTTTTTATCTCATGACTTACGGTGAGTTTAAAGTGCTTTTGAAATAGTTAAAAAAAGAATTTTTAAATAATAAAAGAAATAATGTTTTATTCAATAAAGAAAAATTAAATCTCTTTTACAAAATTCAAAAAAAAAAATTATACTTGACGGTCTCGGGTTGGGCTGGGCTGGGCTGGGCTGTTCTCAAAATGAGCCCAAACTTTCTGGGGAAGTTTGATTGAGCCTAAACCCAGTTGATAGAGTGAAACAAAGTACAAGGCTATGTCCAAAGGATGACTTCAACATAAAGAAAGTACAAACTCTTGTTTGCTTTCAACTCAAGTTTGTTTCAACTTCTAAGTACTTATACAAAGTAAAAACCAAAATCAAAATCAATTTTTTTTTTTAATTTTATTTCATAAAGCTTTTTTTTATTATTATTATAATATAGTGATAACATAAAAAATATATATATATTCTCATTTAGAAAAAGCCCTTCTATACACTATCCGATTTTGATGAAGTCGATAAGTTAGCAATGATCCTATGCCTATCAATTTAGTTTAGTTTCGGGACTTCTCGTGAAGAATGACCAATGGAACCAACCCTCTCAAAGTAGACAAGAACATAATGTATAGAAATATGTTGAGAAGTATTGGTGAAATGGGTGGGTAGAGGATAAGAATAAGAGATAAGGTTATCCATGCACCAACTTATCTAATTTTGTATATAAATATTTCACCTTATAAATCCAAGAAAAATAAATAAATAAAACAAGGATACATTTATTTTATTATTTTAAATAGTATTTTTTAAATATTACTGTTAAGTTGAGTTTGGTTATTATTACGAGACAGAATTTAAAAATTAACCAAAAAAACCCTTAGGTTTGTTAATTTAGCTAAGTACCCCCAATAATAAAAAGTTTATTAATTGACAAAAACACTTCCATTCATTCACAGTTGCCAGATTCTGACCACCACCGCTAAAATCTGGCCGAAATTTGGTGTCATTGCGCATGACGAACAAGATCTAGCGTGTCGTGCACCGCTATGACCTTTTCCAACCAGATCTGGTAATCAACAACGACTAAGGTATGATCGTCATTAACAGTCAACGACAACCATATATTAGCCGTCGTTGACAGCCATTGATCTAACATTTTTCAGCCAAATCTATGGTAGATCTGGCCAGAAAAGGCCTAGAGGCTGACCGGTTGTGTACAATAACACCAGATTCTGGCGGTGGTGGCTAAAATCTAGCAATTGTAGGGTGGGTGGGGGTATTTTTGTCAATTTATAAAAAATTCTTGTTGGGAGTATTTAGTTAAATTAACAAACCTATGAGAATTTAAAAAACAAAGATGTTTTTTTTTTAAGGATAAGAATAGGATATTTTCAAAATAAGAAAACAAACGTAGCCAAACATTTGATGTTAGAGCACAAGAGCATTAATTTATGCATTAACTAATTTCACTCTTGTAGATATACAATTACACATAATAAAAACCCTAATTTCACTCATTAATCAAAACTTAATTGACTGCTGAGTGAGAATTATTGTGTAGGGTGGTTCTTTGGAGGCTAACCAATGAGTAGTAAGCTCCCATGGGTCCTTTTGCCAACAAGGATTGATGGGTTCCTTTCTCCACAACATGCCCTTTATCTAAAACTGCGATTAGGTCACAATTCTGAATGGTACTCAATCTATGTGCTACCACCACACTGGTTCTCCCCACCATCACTCGTTCAAGCGCATCCTGCACTACTTTCTCAGATTGACTGTCAAGTGCACTAGTTGCCTCATCTAGTAGTAAGATTGCTGGATTTTTCAGTATGGCACGAGCTATTGCAATTCGTTGTTTTTGACCTCCTGATAACTGCGCTCCCCTGTCTCCACACCATGTGTCGTAACCTTCATTCAAACCAGCAATGAAATCATGAGCATTGGCTGCTTTAGCTGCCTCGATGATTTCTGATTCATCAGTTTTGTCTGATGCACCATATATAATGTTCTCTCTAATAGTACCAGCAAATAATGTAGGCTCTTGACTAACAAGTGCGATATGCCTTCTCATTGACCTGAGGTGATAAGATCTTATGTCTCGACCATCGATTTTTACCATACCTTTTAAAGGATCATAAAATCGTGTAATTAAACCAATAATTGTTGATTTACCAGACCCACTTTGCCCAACTAATGCAGTTGATTTTCCTGCTTCAATTTTGATTGAAAAACCTTTGAAAATCATCACATCAGGTCTAGCAGGGTACGCAAAATGTACTTCTTCAAGTTCTATGTGCCCTGTTACTTTTTCAGGTTGGTAACCTTCAGGATCCTCGGGCTCAATTCTTGTATATCGGTCCAATACAGCGAAGACTGACCCAACAGAATCCGAGCCTTTGGCAAGGTCCGTAGTCATGCTACCGGCATCAGCTATGACACGACCCGTGCTCACTAAGATCATAAACGTCTCAAAAAGGGCTTTAGAAGATATGTAACCATGAGCGATGAGCCTTCCGCCATACCAAAAGTCTAGAGCCCAAGTGCATGATGTCAGGCTCTGGGAGAAGGCAAGGCCTATACCGGCGTACCATGATTGTCGAACGCTCTCACGTCGTGGGGCTTCTTGTGCTTTTTCGAGCATTTTCAAGATCCGATCTTGGGAGCAGAAGGCAGTGATTGTCCTAAGGTTAGAGACTGCTTCAGCAGCAAGCTTCCCGCTTTCATCTTGGGCTTTTATGGCTTTCTGTGACATGTTTTTGAGTAGAACTCTCCTAGCATAAAAACATACTATGATGAGCGGCTGGACTGCTATCATCACCAAAGCAAGCCTCCATGCAATGACAAGGCCCATGGTAAAAGCTATGGTTACAGCTGAGACAGTTTGCACAATTAGAGCCGTCCGGTCGCCCACCAATGACCTCACCTGCCGTCAATCAAAAACAGGTATAAACTATGGTTTTTATCTGATAAACTTTATATTAACGAAAAATTATGAGCTCGTTAACTTAATATATACCACATTGGCGTCTTTGGCTAGTCGAGAGCAAATTGCGCCACTGGAATTTTCATCCTGATCAAACCATCCAACTTCAAAAGTGAGTATCTTTGAAAGCATCCTCTCTCTGATTCTCTTCGTCAAGTACTCACCCATGTAAGCGAAGCTGTAATGTTGGCTTAAATTAATCAGCAAAGAGAACACTGCTAACCCGGTAAAACACAATGCATAGATCCTCGTCTTCTCTTTGATCTCATCGTGATCCGTCAAGAAATAAACTGATATCATAGACCCCATGGCGAAGGCATAAACTGGTTGCACTGCACCAAACATAACCGCACTTAAACACCCCAAAGTTGCCTGTTTCCATTCTGGGATATTCAATGCTAACAATCTTCTGAATGATGGGACAGGCAAATTCTTGTAATCTTCTTCATTGCTGTCTCTTTGATCTCCGGCTAGTGAACTTCGACTTGCTGCGAAAGAATTTGCTGAACTTGACCGACTGGCCAGTGAAAGCCTACGGCTACTGGTGTTGTTCCCGTCCAAGTTTGATATAGAAGACGGGCCGTGCATAGCTGAAACGTTGGCATTGATCATCATTGTGGTCTCTTCTGGGGTGGTTGTTTGTTGTTTTTCAGTTTGTTGTAGACGAACAAGTGAAGTGTAGAGACCGTTTTCGTCTTGTATGAGCTCGTCGTGGGAACCCGTTTCCATGACTTGGCCATTTTGGACGACAGCGATCACTTCGGCTTTGCGGATAGTGGAGAGACGATGAGCAATGATGATGGTGGTGCGTCCAACGGCGGCTTTGTCTAGAGCTTCTTGAACAACTCGCTCGGATTCAGAGTCGAGTGCACTTGTTGCCTCGTCTAAGAGAAGGATTCTCGGTGCTTTGATTATTGCTCTCGCAATGGCGATTCTTTGCTTTTGTCCTCCTGACATTTGAACTCCTCTCTCCCCAACCTGTCAAAAGAAGCTCTTAATCAGGTAAGTTTCAAGATCAAAACCCTGTTTAATATACATAATAACTCATTATATTACTCTTGTTAATCACTACTTAAGGTATAATTTCTTACATCAACCAGGATATAAATAATAATATTGGGGAGAGTTTAAATGATATCAGCTTGTGATAATTTCTATTTCATGACAAAACACGGTTAGGTATGCAAAGACAAAACCCTGTTTTGGCCATAAGATTTTTCTGATCATCTTCTTGCTTTGTCATTAACTTTGGAAACCAATTTGACTTTTCAGGTTGAGGTCATGGGAGACACGATGTTTCGCAATCTTTCAAATTCCATAATGGGTAATTACTCTCATATATATAAGACCATTAAAATATTTGTAAATTAATGCTTCAAAAGAAACGACAAAAACCCATAGGAACATGAACATGGGTGGGTGGGGGTGCTCATTTTAAGAAAGTGAAGAAATTGCAATTCAATTCGAAGAAGCAAAAGGGCCTAATTTAAGAGGCGTAGGGGACCAAAACTTTTTTACTATACTTTTATAACAAGATAAATCCAACACAAAATAAATATAATGAAACATGGAAATCATAACTTAAGAATGATCAATACCCATTATTTTATAGATCAAGCAAAAGCTATAACAATGAAAGATGTATTATTTATATATTTCTAGCTAGACGACAAGGGGAACTAACCTGGGTATCATACTGCTGAGGCAACTGAGAGATGAAATGATGCGCATTTGAAGCTTTACCTGCTTCTATAACCTCTTCCATTGTGGCGTCTTCTTTCCCAAAAAGTATGTTCTCTTTAATTGTTGTTGCAAATAGTGCAGGCTCCTGGCTCACCAATCCCATTTGTGACCTCAGCCATTTGAGTTGTAATTTATCAGTAGCCACTCCATCGAGAAGAATTTCACCTCCAAGTGGGTCATAAAACCTTTGTAATAGTGAAATTACTGTGGATTTCCCTGAGCCACTACTTCCCACTAAGGCCACTGTCTTTCCTGCTGGTATTTTTATGCTAAAATATTTCAATATTATGCTTTCAGGCCTTGATGGGTATGCAAATTCCACATGCCTAAACTCAACTTCTCCTAAAACATTCTCCAGGATTTGGCCTTCCATATTATCTGAATCAATCTTGGGGACTCTCTTTATCACCTCCATTATTCTTTCCCCTGCAGACATTGCTTCTGAGAAGTACTTCACGTTTGATAAACCAGATCCTAAGGATCTAATCAAGAATTAGAAAAATAATTATGATCAAGAATATAAATATATACTAATTAATTAAATTATCTTTAATATAAACAGTTACATGAATTAAGCTACTTACAGGCCACCCACGGCCACGGCGGCGCCTACGGCGAAAACGGTTCCTCCTTGAGCACCATGGTACATGACCATTGTGCTGCCATAATAAGACAAGAAAGACCAAATACCAAAAACAATTCCGTTGCTTCCAATTGCCAAGCCTTTAGCTAAGCCTTGTTTTAACCCCAGCTTGACTGAACCTTGAAGGGCTGCAGAGAATTCATTGATGGTTTTGGTTTCACCAACGAAGGAATAAACAGTTCTAATAGAAGAGATTGCCTGTTCTGCAATTGTTCCAGCTTTGTTGTATTCTTCTCTTATCTTCCTAGCCAAACTCATTAGAGTCCTTCCATAGATTAATCCAGGAATTACCAGAAGCACAACAAAGGGAAATGCAACAATGGTTAGCTTCCATAGCATCAAGAATCCCACTAGATAGCAACCGAAGAATGTGGCAGTAGTCATCAAAAAGTTTGGAACCTGCCAAAAAAATTTTGAGACAGGTAATTACTTGGTCAGAAACACACTTCTAAAAAGCACTTTTCTTACTTTTAAAAAGGAAAAAACTTTCATCTGAAAAGATTTAAAAAAAAAAAAAAAAAAAGCGCTTTTCCTTACAAGAAAGGTAGTTACACTTTATTTTTTTCTTTTTCTGGAAAATAATTGTATCAGTTGATTATAATTAACCTTTTCACTGATAACATCTTGAATCACAAGACTATCATTAGAGACGCTTGTGATGACTTCTGCGGTGCTGGTGACATGCAAATCAAAGTAACCCACATCTTGCCTTAACACTGCTTTCAAATATCTTGCTCTCATTCTTGTTGCTAGTCTTTCACCTGTTCTTGTCCAGCAAAATCCCTCTAAAATTTTCCAAAAACATAAAATTTGTTAATATCCATTTTGTTTTGAATGAATTATACTTTAAAAATCACCATCCTGGTCGTAATAAATTTAAAACCCACCTAGGAAACACGCAAGCCATCCTCCACAAGCTAAGTAGAGCAACACCACTGCATTCTGTCACTCAAAAAATGAAACCCGGGTTAGCTTTTTTATGAAATATGTATGCATGTCAGAGAGAGACAGAAAGGAGGAGAAATTTATGGGGGGAAGTGGAAATTTTCAAACCTTGTTCATGTTAGTGGTGAAGACATCTGCATCGGTAGTTGATGCATTGCCGACATTGTTCATTAATCTACTAGTCACAAACAACACCAAAGGCGTAGTCAAGCCATCACCAACGGATCCGATGAACCCCAAAGCCATCAAGAACATATCTATACCGTCTGCATGCATGAAAATGGATCGTATAGACCCATTATTCTTTTTCTTCACCTCAGTGCTGTCTTTCCTTTCTCTTCCCATTTTCAGAGAGAAATTAAAAAACAAAAACAAAAGCAAAAGCTAACAAGAGCAATCCTCACAGCACTTCTGCTATGGCTTTCCCTTGCTAGCCGCCAAACGGTGTGTCTTTTAATAACTAGTTAAAATATAGCAGAGATTTGGGAGAGATGTCAGGCAGTAAGAAACACATACACAGATATCACCTATTTATAGGTGTTTGGAGGTGGGTTCCATTTTACAACTATGACCACAATAGGAGTTAGTGGGTATTACGTATGCAATGAATTAATAAATCCATATCGTATAAATATTTACTTTAAGGAAATTATCCATCATTCTAATTACTAAATATTGCCTTTGGTTTATGGATTATTGTATTACCTCATAACATAGATTACCGTGTATATAGATTACTATGTATAAATTATTATTGTGTTTGATTTGTCAGAGCTATAGAAATGCTTAAGATGTTTGGTTGTCAGTAATCATATATTATTAATATATTATTTTACTAAAATGCCGTTATTATGTAAGATTACTGAGTATCAATTATTAATTTGTTTGGTTAAAAAGTATAAAATTTCAGCTAAACAACTCATCCTTGGACCTGAGCACAATATTTATCCAAATTACAGCTAAGCTACAAAGTGAAAATATAAATTATAATAATAAATTGATTTTGTTTTGGCAACTGGGATTTTTTTTTTTTTTTTAGAAAAGTGAAAACCATTACAAAGGGAAAAAATTCCTCAATCATGGCATATTAATAGGCCAATCACCACCCAATACACACGTCACTTTTGGGTGGTTCTACCATATGGTCTAAGCAACCCCCACTACCCCCAGACAAAAGCAAGCAACCTGCCTGCACGGCTTATAATTAAAAGAAGTACAAACCTAATCTCTTAAAGGTGATGGTGCTTGTGGTCGTCGGAAAGCACCGCAATGAAGTTGGAAATGGTTTGCGACGATTGAAAAAATCCAAATTAGTACAATGATACACAATAATAACCGTAACAGAGTAAAAGAAGACAATGAACCTTGAGTGTGGTGGTCGATGTTGTCTGGAGATTAGGTCAAATTCGATGCGTTCCTGCTGTTTTCATCAAAGAAGAGAAATGAGAATGGTTAGGGTTTCGCAAAATTGGTAAGTTATAGGTGTAGTTCTTTCAAACTTGAGGGGCATTTTTGTTCTAAAATATTGTTAAATAAGGTTACAAATGTTTTATTATGCTAAAATGACATATTTCTTATTAGGCAAATACTTAAGGGCAAGTGACTGATATGTAATGACAAATTTGGAATAAAAATAAGATACACCCAGTAATGTTAGAAAACCACCCCTAAACTAGGTTATCTGATTACCCCAAAGTTAACCCACAGTGTTCACTTTTGGTAAATAAACATTACCGTCATCTTTTTTAACCTTTAAACCAAACGTAGGAATTTCTGGAAAAAAACATAGATAACAGCAACTATCCCCATATAGCCCTAACCAACCACACCCTTATAGATTCGTTAACATCAGAGTGGGTGGCCTTTTCTGACGAAGGTGGTGTTTTCCGACGAATTTATCCGCTGTCGAAAAGAAACATGATAAAAGGGACATATATCGTTTTGTAGAGGTGGTAAATTTGTTTATAGAATGTGGACAGGTTGTAGGATAATGAGCATGTGGGAAGGAGAGAAGAAGATCACTATTGACTTTTAATTGTTTAGTTCCTTAAGATTTCGTCATTAATGACGATGTTTGGACCCACAGGAGGGCACTAATGCTAGTTTAATGATCTTAATACAGCAATTAATTTCTTGATTATATGTTGATTGTGATCTTCATCAAGGTTTATAAACATTATCATGCATGTTAACTACAATGAGTTGAACTAGTTACGCATGTGTTTAATTGATGGTTTAACATAATCCACAAATTATAGATTAATTCATATTAAATCATAATGTCGTGTATACAAGACTAATTGAACTCAACTTTACGCCTTATAGTTTAGATTTTATCATTCCATTTGAGGTAGGGGAGTCTTATCTATTTAATTATAAACGAAAAACAAGTCAAATAATAATTAAAAAGTGTTACGAAGGTAAGTTCTATCTAAGCTTAGTTTATCAGGATATTAGAGCCACGCTTATTTGGGACGATGATGGATTTAGACCCAATCCCTGTACGCCACGGTCAAATCCAAAAATTTCTGTTAGATTGAGTCAAAATAAAAACTAATTACATATTCATGTTTTTGTCTATTAATATTTCTGTTAGGGTGTGTCAAAATCTAGAAATTATACATATTAATATTTTTTTAAGAAAATTTGAGGGTGGGTTACACCATCTGCCCCTTCTGCATGCTAAACGTAAGAGCGGATATTAGAAGTTGAATTTATATCATATCGTCATGTTAGTAGACTGTTATGATGTATATATATGGTTAGACTATCTCCTCCCCTTGAGTTAACATTTAAGACTGAATTATATCTAAGCTCATTTATAAAAAAGTTTTAATTTAGAGATGAAAATTATGTCACTAAGATTTTGAAACTCTTTCTTTGGTGCTGACATCTTTCCTTACCTCATTTCAGAAACGTGGCCAACTAATTAACAATTAATTAATATTGTTTGATTAACAAGCTAACCCACTTCATGTGATGTTACTTAATTAACTAGTATACACATATTATATTAATATATTTCTTGTTGTTACTTTCATCCCTGTTGTATAGAATTTAGTGTATTACTTTCTCTGTTGTATAGAATTTAGTGTTTGTGGGTAATAACTATTTATATATAATGGAAATTTACTACTAAGGCATTGACATTGATGATAGAAACGTGCAATTTTGCGACGGAAATTGTGCAAGCTGATCTAACCAGAAAAAAATGCCCACATGATAAAAGCAGAGTGCAGTTAATATGTATTAAGTATAATTTATCTTCTGACTTTTCACTTATCAGCCCATCAGTGTTGAATTCTGATATAAATTGGTTTGTTGGAAATAATATTTTTAATAACCAAGAAACTCCAATTGCCTACCTTTCAAATTATTATCCGTATGGTACAATGCATCTATTGATCTATAAGTTTTTATTTTTAATTTTTCTTAAACAGGTTATTCAAGCTAACTTACGCACATTTCAACTAATCTTTGTATATGATTAACATAATCTCCCATCATCATAATCACTCATTTAAATCTCAAGAGCTGAGCAGATTCAAACCTGAGATCATGCGTCTTAACTACGCATCCTACCACTCTGTCTTACTACTTAAGCTACCTAAAAGAGGTTCTATATGCTTTTGTACATATCAAAAAATAAAATCTAGTACCTATTGAACGAATGCCAATCTAATGATAAAAAAATGTTAAATATTGGTATATATATACGCTTTAATCGGTTAAATACATATGCATATGTGAGTTTAATTAACTAGTTGAATTAAAATGTTTTCAATCAAAATATTTCGAATGTATGCGTATATTGCAAGAGACTAAAAATCTATTTCGATCATAGTTTTATGGTTTTGTCTGTTTCATTTTTCACTATCCTATCTTATCAAATCCTACCCAAAAAAACATATTTGTTTCAATATTATCAAATTCCAATCATATTCTATTCAACTCAAAATATTTTTTTTTACCTCATAGGTTTGTTAATTTAACTAAACACCCCTAACAATAAAAGTTTATAAATTAACAAAAACACCCACCCACTCACATATTCCCGATAGCCGGCCACCACTACCAGAAGATGGCCAGAATCTACCGAAATGGCACATGACTGCTAGATGTGACGGTCGTGTATCGATCTACCATTTTCTGGCCAAATCCATGATCAGTGCACGACTAGCCAGATCCAGCTGGTCGTGCACCATTCTGGCAACTTTCGGCCACCCTCTAGCAGTGGTAGCTGACTGTTGACATTTAATGGGTGGATGGAGGTATTTTTGTTAATTTTTAATGTTTTATTATAGGGGGTGTTTAGCTAAATTAACAAATCTAGATGATTAAAAAGCAATCGAAATATTTTCAAAAAATGTTTTCCAAAAATTTAACAAACACATTTTCAAATTCAAATCCTATTTTCATAATAACAAGTCAACTCAAGTTTTTCAAAAATACTACATAAATACTCTACCAAATACAGGCTATAATATTTCGACATGGTATTATATTAGAAGTTAAAGATGCTTCATTTCAATGCTAACGTTTGTAATACTTAGTTTAATTCCTCACAAAAGAATATGATGCTAGATTTAATCTTCAATCTTTGAGTGCATAGCTCAAAAAGATGCTAGCTAGCTAGCTCGACCTTCAATATTTGAGTGCATAGCTCAAAACAAGAAATGGCAATTGGAATTTAAAGCAACATGCACCGTCAATATTTCAGCCTGGAAATCGACTGATAAAGACTATAGATTTTGCATTTCCTGGACTTTTTGAAGTCTTGTCGACCATGAAATTGGTAAGACCGCATCCACCTTATTATGTGGACAGAAATCTTAACGTGTGAAATTGAATTTCATCAATTCTAACATGATATTTCTCATAACCTCAACCTCATTAAATGGCACAATACTCATCTCTCATTAGATGGTGTCGATACGGTTTATTGGTGCTTGTTTAAAACTAAAATAAATGAAAATTCAATCAAGCTTTTTCCCATCGAGAATTATAAAATTTTGTTTTCCAAATATTTACAGGAATCCTGTTCATTCTTAACGGTTTACTTCCGACATATTGTCATGGTCAAGAAATTGAAAACACTTTTGCCAACGCATAATGTAAAACTTAAAAATTTTAAACTCGTATACAATCACCCATTAAAATTTTCATATATTTTATTAACGGAGAAGGGTTTATCTCGTTGGCTTTGACCGAGATTGAGGTGGATAGACATTGAAGGAGAAAAAGAGAGTGACGTATTTGCATACGATCGAAGCATTTGAGTCCTTTACATAATTATTTTATTTGTATTAAACAAATAAAGTTGGATGCATAACTTATATTGGACGGTTTAGTGGTGACAAAACAATACCTTTCTTATACTTATAATTTAATTAAGAGTAAATGACATATTCCTACCCTAGGTTTGACAAAATCTCAAGTTGGTATCTCTAGTTACATTTATTCTAGAAGTGCTTGTGGTCGTCGAAA